ACGTATTAATAGTTTGTAAGGGTGCTTATTTCGAATTCGATTAACAAATTATGTTCAAATGTCACATAATTATGTAAATATAATAATTTATTAAATTAATAATAAATAAATTATGTAAGATCATTTTATATGTAAACATCAAGTTACATATCGTTTAAACATGTATAGTTACAAATTATTTTAATGTTTTTTGAGGGTGCTTATATTTCAAATTTGATAAGCGATTCAGGGCATTATGTCAATAAATAATTGTAAAAAAAAAATTATTTTTAACAGTTTCAAATTTCTTGCAAGAATAAAAATTATATAAGAACCGCAAAATGCCTGCAGAAAAATCCATTTCAAGCCAATAAAACAAAGAAGCAAAATTTGCTGTACGTACCTATGTAATCGAGAATGTCAGATAGCAGCGTTGGCGTAGTTTGTTTATTCCACACTACGCTCCATAGGGCTTGAATCCATAAATTAGGATTTTGATAGCCGTATTTGTAGCAAGTACTTAAAACGTGTTGGCAGTCTTTTCTTCTCATGTAGTACAGCAATATATCCTGATGTCTGGAAATTTTTTATGACTGTTCAAATTTTCATGTGGTATCTTTCGTAACATATCGTTTTTAAACAACAAAAATGAAATGAAACTTGCAGTTTTCTTTCCTCGTATAAGTAGAGGACTCCTTCTTTAAAATCGTGCTGTTGACAAAGTATTAATAATTGATGTTTATCATAACATGCATTGGGATTTTTTAGCAGGTAAGCAATTTTCTGTTCACATTGTAATCTCAAAATTTCATTGTTTAAAGACGACCACACATGTAAATAATGTTCGACTAACGTATTGTACACTGTTGTACTCCATCTGTAAAATAGTATATAAATTTCTTGCAATTAAAATTATGTGTTTTCATTTAAATTTCAAATCAACTTATAAAATTATAACTATAAAGATGCAGTAAATGAAAAAAAAGTAAATGATAATCATAATAAGAGTAAGAATTATTACTAACTTGTAATCAATTTTAACCAAATGTTCCAAAAATTCTACTAATCTTTCAGAATTGTTCATAAATAAATGTAGATAATCTTCGGGATTAGCTTTTTCTGTACAATTTTCCTAAAGTAAAATTTTATGGTGTAGATTATTTGTTTTAAAAATTTAAAAAACCCTTTCCCACTAGCAGCCCTCTACAATTAAAAAATATCTTTTTGAAACAACTGATTCCAACACACATTTTAGTAATTAAATAAGACGTCCAACGACAGTTGGTGAATAATTAAAAATAACATCCAATGATGGTACTGTCAAATTTTTTATTTATTTAAAAACAAAACAACGTTTCGATCGTTTGGACAATGTCCCTGCCATTATCAGGTACAAAAATCTCTGACTCTTATGAAAGGGATGTAAAGTCGTCATGAGGACATAGAAATATAACAGTAAAATCTTTTTGCCCCAAATCTCAATTTGTTTGGAATTTGCTAAAATTTTAGGGCGACATAAAAGCTTGAATCACTTGATGCTCAGTAAAAACGAGAAAAATATCTTCCCTGAGTGTAGATCAAACGCACAACCTTCTGCTTACTAGAAAGTTGCTCTACCACTTGAGCTACCGAAGAACCGTACATTCACTCGCACCGTAGGTTTGATTAAGTTCTCGTTCTTAATTTGATTTGTTTTTACCTCAAGTTCGATTTTTAATAGGTTTATTAGAAAATGATTATAATGCTTGTAGTTAAGTAAGAAATTTAATATTACTCTAAGAGGTATACAAGCAATATTGAAACATTTATCATCGTATCGGCACACATGTGGATGGTGGCACTTTTATTTAAGCACTCTTAAAATTATCCATAAAAATACTTCTTTCGTTCTTACTTAACATCAAGTGATTCAAGTTTTTATTGCGCCCAATAAAATCAACAAAGACCAAACAATTCATCTCATCAAAATTTGGGACAAAAATATTATACTGTTATTGTTATATATCATCGAGTTTATAATCTAGATATGGCTCAGTACTATATATTTGCTATCGAAAAGAGGACATGAATGATTTTAAAAATGCTCATATAAAAATGCCGACATCCACCAATGTGCCGATGAAAAGATAAATTTATCAATGTTGCTTGTATACCTTTTAAAGTAATATTAAATTTCTTACTTATTTACAAGCATTAGAATCATTTTATAATGTACCTATTAAAAATCGGGCATGAGGTAAAAACAACTCAAGTTGAGAACAAGATCATTTCTGAACTTCCGCCACAGTGTTGCCAAATAAAGGAAAAAGCGTAAAAATTCGTGCTCCACTGGAATTTAAGCTTAAAAAAATCGTCTGATAGCTTACTTAGTTTTTTTGTAATTCTCTGTTAGAAACCAAGTCCCTTGCATGTGTGTCTAAATGCTATGTATACATACATAGAACGCCAACATCAAAACTACTAATAACATTTCAGTTACACCTAAATATCTTCGCGAATTTTTAATTAATGGAAACAATTTTTAATGGAGATTGAATATATTAAGCCGTATTATTATTATGAATTTTTTAATAATTTTTAGCGCCAAATTAAAATTTTAAATCGTTGACTATTTTAAATCTTCAAAAGAAAAGAAGTTGGTAATAATTCTAGATAATGGTTGATAATAGTATTAAGTAAAATTACTGTTAATTTATTGAATCTATTCGGAGCCAAATTCTAATTTTGAACTTCTGGTTATATCATTTTTTCGAAGAAAAGGCGTTTTTTCGAGATGATTTGGCGAATTTTAAATAAATAATAATAACTCCTATTGGAGGTTAAAGATGGCATCAAGTAACGTTGCTGAAGGTTATTTGAAAATTTTTGAAGCCAAATACTAATTTTGAACTGGTGATTGTCTCGCTTGTTCGAAGAAAAGACGTATTTTTTGAGATAATATAGCGAATTTTAATTTTTTTTTTTTTTTTTTACCGGGTCACCACGACAGCCTACTTGGCCTAGTCGCGGGGGCCACCCACTCACCACCTATGTGTGGGGGTGTATTGCCACACGCATCTCTAAACCTTTTTCCTCGCATCCTATACCTGAATCCATGGGCACAGTGTGAGTATCTCCGGTGGAACACCTTGCCAGTTAAGCTGACACTCTCTGCACCGATGGTGCATCGGGTCCACTCACCACTGTGTAGCCTTTATTCCATCCTCTCATAGCCTCCATTATTCCAGGACGACCACTCCTCGCCGGTTAAGCTGGCGCTCTCTGCTGAAGCATTGGGTCCAGGCTAATTAGCATCCCCGGAGAAGCCCCGTGTTTCAGGGGCCACTCCTCGCCAGTAAAGCCAGCGATCCCAGCCCGACGCCTGGCATCGGGTCCACTAATCCCTACCTATAGCCCTAACACTGTTTCGCATTCACCCAGGCCCGAAAACCTGTGGGGCAAGGAAAAAACCCTGGAATTACTCCGAAGGAAAATTCCACGGAAAAACCCGCCCCAAAACAGCCGGGGTTACATAGGAACTTTTCCCGATGAAAACAGTTTTTGAAAAAATCTGCATTCACTGGGAATCGAACCCACGACCCCTAGAACTGCGTTGTATCAGTAACAAGCACGCTTACCACTGAGCCAACGCCGCTCTTTATAGCGAATTTTAATTAAATGGTGATCATTCTTGATATGAGTTGAAAATAGTATCGAGTACCGTCACTGTAAGTTTTTCAAAAATTTTGGCTTCGAAAAGTATTTAAAAATTTACAGTAATGATACTTTATACTACCTTCCATCCTCTATCAAGAATTATTACTATTTATTCAAAATTTCATATAATATCTAAAAAAAAAAATCATTTCTTCGAAAATATGAGATAATTAGAAATTAAAAACTTGAATTGGGCTCAAAAAATTTCAAAAAAACTTACAGTAAACTTACTTGATACTATCTTCAACCTTAATCGAGTATTATTACCGTTCAATCAAAATTCGCTGTGACATCCTGAAAATAACGTCTTTTCTTCAAAACCGAAATAATCAGCAGTTTAAAATTTTAATTTTGTGCTAAAAATTATAAAAAAATTTACAATGATGATACTTTTTTTTATCTTTAATCTTCATAAAAAACTATTTCAATTGATTTAAAGATTTCAAACATATTTAGGAACAAAAGAAACTATCGAAAGATTTTTTAAGCTTAAATTCCAATGAAGCACAAATTTTTGCACTTTTTTCTTCATTTGGCAACATTGTGCTACGGTGCGAGTGAATGTACTGCTCCGCGGTAGCTTAAGTGGTAAGGCAAACATCTAGTCAAAAGGAGGTTGTGCGTTCGATCTGCACTTGGGGAGGAAATTTTTTTCGTTATTAGTTAACATTAAGTAATTCAAGTTTGTTTTTCGCCTGATAAGATCAACAAAGTCCAAACAATTTATCGATTACATATAAACATTACGATTTTCATCCCTTTCGTAAGAATCAGAAAGTTTTGTACCTAATGAGGGCCAGGACGTTGTCCAAATGGTTGAAACGTTGTTTTGTTTAAATAACTACAAAATATGACAGTACCATCATTAGACGTTGTTTTTAATTACAAATTTTAGTATTTAACATTCCTGTAGAAATGTAGGAAAATTCATAAACAACACAACTAAGTATATACATACGTACTTAGTTCTTGTATATTTCAATAATAATTATAATCGACAGTTCTTTTCTACTTTTATAAAACCACCAGTTTTTATGAAAAAGATTTACTATACATTTGCTTATAATAACTTGCTTACTTCAGGAGTCAATCGTAAATTTTCTGACTATTTCTATAGGACTGGTGTCCGTAAGTGTTCAATCAACAACATTTTAGTACAGATTTTTACAAAAATTATGGTAATAAACTTTTATAATAGTTATTCATTTATTGTTAATGAATAACTTACATTTTATTGACATAATTTCCAAATAAAAGATTTTAGTCATGAAGTTTTAAAACTCGCAATATACTTTAAATACAAAGAGATATAAAATTACAGTAAAATTATACATTTCAGTTATCGTACAAAGGTAATCAGCTGTTATTTCATATTTTATTTAAAAATGTTTTTAATTTTTCTTAACGATTCATATTTATGGAAGTATCAACTTTACTGTTATGTTTATGGTGATAAAAATATTCAATTTGTCAAAGAATAAGATTAATGTTATTTATGTTAACATTTACAGTATAATAAAAATATGCAAAAAAAAACGCAAAACACTAAATTAATAAGCTTTATGATTTGTTACAAAAAATTTTAGAGACATAATTGCGTCAAAATTTACTCATACGTAGTATAAAGAAGTATACATTTTTTTCAGAAAGCGTAAGAAAATTAAGTTAAATGATGGATTTAGAAGGGAAACAAATAATGCACTCCTAATAAAAACTTTTCAAAAATATACAGTACTAAAATCTTAGTAATATTTATGTATGATAACGCCTTTTAAGGAGGTTTGGGAAAAAAGTGCAAATTGTAGTATCTTGACAAAAAAACGTATGTTACATTTGGGCATACCAAGGAGTGTAAATGAATTTTTTTAAGATTTTTCACCAGGGAAATTTTCGAGAAGAAAATTATTTAATACTGTCAGTTTAACAGGGTGTCTTGTGAGAGAACACGGTAAGGCTGCGTTTTAATTAAATATTACGGTACATTATAAATGTGTTACATTTAAGAAATACGTTTTTATAGATACCTTAGTACAAAAGAAAGATAATCAACAAAAAAATCACGACTCATCGGGCATTTTTCAAAAATATAACCTATTACAGTCGAACAGATTCAAGTTGTAGAGTGCAAGAGAAGGTGCGCGGTAAAGGGGGTACATCTGCACGAGCAGCGGGACTCCCCGTTCCTTGCCTCTCTGAATGATACTCCCAAATTTTCTTAACTTCTTGCTAGCAAGCAACAACAGAAAAAAAAAAAAAAAAAAAAAAAAAAAAAAAAAAAAAAAAAAAAAAAAAAAAAAAAANTATCCAAACTATGCATGGCACATTAATTATTATTTGTTTTTCAACAAAACATAAAACAGTAGCTAAAAGTATTATTAGTTAAAATCGTAGTCTGTGAACTACCAGCTGCTAATTATATTCATCATACCATGCACT